CAACTTTTCCTTCCATCATCAAAGGCAAGAGGCAAGAACACCAAAATCCAACAACTGTGGCCGTTGTCCCAAGACTCCTCTGGTTTCACCTTGCCACAATTTCTCCACATAACGCCACAGTCTCTCCACTACCAGGGTCTTGCTTCAGTCTCCCTCAAGTCTTGCTTACTTTAAGTCTTGCTGCCCAGTGTAGGAAGCACTTTTCTCTTATCCTAGTCCTACAGTTGGTGATTTGCAAGATCATGTGTCTGCAGTTAAAGTAGTTAGACACCAGAAAGGGCTAACTGCAATGGCTAAAAAAAGTAAATTTTTAGGCTAATACTACAGGTCTTTTTGGTAGTCCATGGGACATTCAGTATTCTTCTCCAACTACAGCTCAAAGGCATCAATTCTTCTGTAGTCCTTAGTCATTGTATAGCCCTCAGAGTCCTAGCAAGTGATTGAGAAGACTTAGTCTTCAAACTAACATCATTAGTTCTCAGTAGTTTGCAGAGATTCCCAACAGTGATCTTGCCCAATGTACTATGTCTTATGATCGCCTTCTGACTGCTGGGACCAAGGGTGTTGATTGTGGATCCAAATAAGTTTAAATAATTTTAAATTTCAATCCTTGATTCTCCGTCTTTCATGATGTTGCCTATTGGTCCAGTGGAGAGTACTTTTGTTTTCTTGATGTAGAGATGTAATTAGTCTTTAAGGCTGCAGTCTTTGATCCTCTGAAGTGTTTCAAGTTCTCATTGACAGCAAGCAAGGTTGTGCCATCTGCATAATGCAGGTTATGAATGAGTCTTACTCTGATCTTGAGACCCTATGTATAATAACTCTGAACCTTCCCTTATCCTGAGCCAATCTCACTGATTCTGACAAAACCACCTCCATTACCCCAGTTACTGTGTCAATCCATCTCACCTAGCGTCTGTCTCTCTTGTCTGTCCCTCCACCCTTTCAAGCAGGATGTCCCTCTCCAGGAACTGATTCCTACTGGCCACATGTCCAAAGTATTGGAGCAGAGCTTCAAAATCCTTGCCTCCAAGGATCAGCTTCATTTCACCCTCTCCAGGTTAAACCTGTTTGTTCTCTTGGCAGTCCATAGTAAGTTCAACACTCTTCTCCAGCACCACAACCCAAAGGCATCAGTTCTTTTTCTGTCAGCTCTTGTCATTGTCCAGCTCTTTGGTACATAGCAAGTAATTGCCGAGTCTACGGCTTGAATTGGATGCACCTTTGTCTCCAGACTGACATTGTTGCTCTTTAGCATTTTGGAGAGGTCCCTGACAGCAGCTTTGCCAAGAGCAATTCTTCTTTTGATTATTTGGCTACCAAGAGGGCCAAGAGTGTTGATTGTGGATTTGAGCAAGCTGAAATTGTTAAGACCTCAATCTCTTCAACATCTATCATGGTGATGCTGCTTATTGGCCTGGTGGTGAAAAATCTTTGTCTTCTTGATGTTGAGATTCAATCCATAGTGAAGATTATAGTCCTTGACCTTCTGTAGTGAACACTTCTAATTAAACAGTACCAAAGTGGGAGTCTCATAGACAGTTTGGTATTTACATAGACATATGTATAAATAACATATGTAACCTGGAGTGTATTTTCTTTATTTCCTATTGTCATCTTTATGTACAAATGTCTTTTAGCTGGTAGGCTTATAGCCAAGACATGTTAGGTGCAGAATAAATGATAGAAGATATAAAAAATTAAGAAAATTTAAACATTATGAAGTATATGTTATAACAAAAATAAACCCATGTAATTTTTATTTTTTTAATAATTTACTGTTTTTCTAATTAAGAGCATGCTGTGTTACATACTTTGATGCTAACCAAAACCAGGTCAATGTCTGAATTCCCAGATGGAAGGACAGTATTCTCTCATAAAGATATACTGCCTTGGAAACTCAATGGAGGGTCACTGTGGATTAGACTCGAATGAACAGCAATGGGTCTAATTCAGCTGCTGAAAGTTGTTATTATTAGGTGGCATAAAGTTCAGACCCATTCATAGGTATCAACATATTGAAACCTTGCCAAATCCTCCCAATTTACTGTCTTAGTGGCTTTGTCAGTCCATCTCATTAATAGCCTTCCTCTTTTTCACTGACCCTCTTCTTTTCCACGAAATGCCCCTTCCTTATTTTATGCCCAAAATATGCCAAAAAAAAAAAAAGGTCTTACTATCCTTGCTTTTAAGGAGCACCCTGGCTACATTTCTTCTAAGACAGATTTGTTTGTTCTTTTCAAAGTCCGTTATATAGTCAATATTCTTTACCTACACTACCGTTCATTTTTATCATGTACCATCATGAGTATGACCCATATCGACCCTATAAACAATAGATCTGAGCCCTGTCCTATCTTGAACCATCCTCATCATCTCTGACATACTCGAGCCCATTACTGCAGTCACTTTGTCTACTCATCCTGTTGAGGATTTTTCCTTTCATTGATTGACCTTCCACCTTCCCTACCATGATGTCCCTTTTCAAAGAATATTCCGTTCAAGCAACATGCCAAAAATATGTGAGATGAAGCGTTGCCATCTTTGCCTCCAAGGAACACTCTGACTGACATTTCCCAAGACATATCTGTTTGTTCTTTTGTCAGACCATGGGATATTCAGATCTCTTCTCCAACACTACAACTCAAAGGCATTGCTTTTTCTTCTGCATTATTTATTGTTCAGCTTTCAGACACATAACAAGTGACTGAAAAGGCCATGGCCTGAAACAGATGCACATTTAGTCCTCAAACGGATTTCATGGTTTCTCAGCACTTTGTAGAAGTCCTGACAGCAGACTTTCTCAATGCAATATGCCTTTTGATGTTTTAACTGCTGGTACCAAGGATGTTGATGGTGTATCCAAGTAACATAATGCCATTGATAATTTCAACTTTTTCCCCATTTATCATGATGTTGCCTATTGGCATAGTGGTGCAGATTTTCATCTCTTGATGTTGAGATGAATCCATATGACTTTGCAGATGTAGAGAATTGTATGTGCACAATGAGATTATAATGCAGTTCAAAAAGTGAGTAGAACTGTGTACTTTGTGATTGGCATAAGGAAGAGATGAAAAGCTATGGACAATAAGGTTTTTATTTCTTTACAGAGGAATTACAACTCAATAGTATCTTTGCTGAATTTGGACCAATTTTAAGAAAATGGGCAGTGTCTTATTCTAGTTCACCTACTGCACAAATGCCTCAGTCATTAATTACTCCACTGTGCATCTCTGCATTATATCAGTGTGGTGTGACCTGATGGATGATATGGCTAAAGCATTCGTCATGGTTTGTCAGGGTAGCACAAATGATTCAGCACTAGACTACTGACTGTAGGTAGGTGATTTGAACACCCAGAGGCACCACAGAAGAATGACCTGGTGGCCTGCTTCTGCCTTGAAAATCCTGAGGACAAGGGGTCACCATGCATTAAGAGTGACTGGATTAAAACTGGTTTGATTTTAGTTTGGCCATATTATAAAATCATTATGCTTTTAACTGTTGATCCTGTCTATTGTTATTGTGTGCAGTTGAGTAAAACCAAATCATAGGTGACCCACTGGTAAATTTTCAAAGGCATTACCTCATAGGAGGAGATTGCCCGTCCTTCGGCTGCAGAATAGCTAGTGGATTCAAACTTTATACCTTTGAGATTGCAGCACAGCTAAGAAGTCACAGAGCTCCACTTCTGATACTGGCTGTGCTTCTAAGACTCAAAAGGGAGCGTCACAGGGAGAAATTATACAGAAATAGTGAAAAATGGTCATTTGTCTTCTGAAATTAGAACAGTGCTAACAGACATTTTGGTAGGGAAATACCTTAGTAAGTAGAATAGTTGAAAGAATAAAACAAATGTTATTCTTAAATTTTTTCCACAGTTATTTCCTGATTTGAGAAATGTCAGATTCTAGAACCAAATTTATTATTTTCTAAACATCTGTCTCATTTTTGACAAGTCTCCTTGCTTTTCTGATAGACAATTTCTGATCTTCTGAATAAAAGGGCTTACAGACATGATCAACAGAATGTAGCAGAAACGTTGGCTCTGGAAAATTAAGAGAGGCTTCCTGCCAACCCTTCTCTTTCAAACAAAACTTGGCTTTTATTTGTATTACAAATTGGTACTTTTGTTAAGATTTTGTTTGATGAAAGGATTCTGATGCCTGTAAAAATTTAGAAAAAATAATCTATGAACTGTGTTCTCTAAAGTGTATCCAGCCCAGAAACAATTTTCACATCATAGAGTAGGGATAGCATATGTCCTTTTTGTAGGTCACTGAGGGTTGAAGATGATAGTACATTTAGAACATTGCAACCACTTTGAGAGCATTCAGTCTGTTAGCTGTTGTTTCCCCTCCCTCCAACCTGCTCACACATACACATCGACATACATAAAATTGCATTTCACTCAACTCTTAAATATTGACTGTAAAATGATGATCTGGGAAAAAATTACTTAATACTACTATTAAAATGTTAACATGAGCTTGCAAGTGCTTTGCAATTTTCTTATTTGTTATTATCTGCATTTTCTAATTTTTCCTTTAATTTGCATTTGTTTTTTAATCAGACTGTAGAAATGAATGTACTGAAAAAGGAGGGATCTCAGTTTTATAGACTTTCAGAATCTGCCAGAAAATATTAAAGCAGATTCTTTGAGGAAAAAAGAAATGTCTTCGACATTCTGTTCTTTGCTTGGCCAGTTTTCCTGGTTTTGTACATTGCATTATCCTCCCGCCATTAAATGATTTTGTGTGCAGTAGTAGATCTTGACATAATTATGATTAGGATGTAATTGTGCAGCTAAACAAAGGGCATCATCTCTGACCATTTAAACCCATCTGCTGCTCTGAGGGAGAAAGTGGACAGTCACCTCCAGTTACAATGTACAGCCTCGGAAGCCTGATGGAAGGTTGTTAGGAGTGAGAAGCAGCTCAACGGCAGTGAGCGTGTAAAGGTGTAGTCGTGAAAGTTAACATGTCAATGTGTTTCAGGCTTGCCAGCTCATGGGAGAGTGACCTCAGCGTCCACGCCCTCACCCTGCCTGCCACAACGTGTTTGGAGCTGCTCTTAATACTGTCGAAGAGTAATGCTGTGCTGCCTCCATCCCTTCGCTTTATGAATTCATTTCAGGTAAGAACTTGCTCCTTTATCAAGGTAGAATTTTTTTGGTTTTACTTGTAGTTTTTCATGAATTTTGACTTCCAGGGAAATAGCTCATGGAAGCACAGTTTAATATCGTAATAATTAAAATCATATTGTATGTATTGCATTTTAAAAAAAAAAAATTTTAAAAAAACCTCCTGACTTACAGCAATCCTCCCTCAGGTTTCTGTGACCTTAAATCTTTATGGGAGTGGGCTACCAAAACAAAGATTCTCACCACGTGGCCAATTGGCAGTACCACTATGGATGGAGAAGAGATTGAGGTTGTTAACAGTTACAGCTTGCTGGGTTCCACAATCAACACTCTTGGCACCAGCAATCAGGAAATCAAAAGATGAATTGCCTTAGGTAAATCTGCTATCAAGGACCTCTCCAGAGTACTGATAAGCCTTCACAATTACATGCTATGCATCAGAGAGCTTCATGATGATTAAGGATGAGAGAAGAAGAATTGATGCCTTTCAATTGTGGTGCTGGAGAAGAGTCTTGAGCATACCATGGACTGTCAAGAAATAAATAAATCTGTCTTGGAGAGGGTGAAACTAAATTTCTCCTTGGAAGCAAGGATTTTGTTTGTCTCACACACTTTGGGCATGTGTCCAGGAAGGATCATCCTTGGAGAAGGACATCATGCTCCAAAGGGTGGAAGGACAGCGCAGGAGAGGAAGAACCTTGATGAGATGGATTGATACAATAACTAGGGCAATGGATAGATGCAGTTGATAGGGCAAAGGGTAGATGTATCGGAGACAGTTAGACTGGCTCAGGACAGGGTAGGCTTCAGAGCTGTTGTACATAGGGTCTCTAAGTCACAGGTGACTTGATGGCACATAACAACGGCAACAACCCAACTTTCTATCACAAAGTAGCTATTGGATTAAAACTGCCAACCTTTTGGTTAGCAACCTGCATGCACTATGCAACCAGGACTCCTCTAATAAGTGAAACTACTGACAGAAAAACTGATGACAGAAGATCATGATGATGGCACAAAATAGAGCAAAGTTCAAATGTGTTATTTTTTTCTATAATTATATTTTATTAATTTTCATAAACATTTACAGAGATTTTGGGTTTCCATTCATTCATTGTTGCACTATTCCTATTCTCTCTACCCTCCTCCCAGTTTGGTCTTGTCCAAATGCCACAGTGCTTGTCAAAGCCAGTTCTGATTAATCTTCTTTGTCAGTGTGTTCTTTGCCATTCGCTATCACTCCTCCCTGAGAGAGACTTCACCCTGAGTCATAAGGAAAAGGGGATGGCGTATTCTCTTAGCTACTTCCTGCTGAAAAGGGACGCTGTGGGTTTCAGGGTGAAGATCTTCTCTCACTACTCTAAAGGGCCCCTTTGGCAGTAGGAAACACATAGACTATTATGGAGATTGATTTTGGAATTTAGATGCACTCTTATTGATTGTGCTTGGCCGTACATGTTCATATCCTTGAAGATGTATCATGGGGGTGTTGCAACCTAGAAGACACTACTGGGAATATACCCTGAAGAGACCATAGCTGACATCCAAGCAGATATATGCACACCCATGTTTATTGCAGCTTTGTTCACAATAGCAAGGAGTTGGAAACAACCTAAGTGCCCATCAACAAACGAATGGCTAGAGAAGCTGTGGTATATTCGCACAATGGAATACTATGCTGCATTAAAAAACAAGGAACTCATGCAATATTATTCAAAATGGTTGACTCTGGAGAACATTATGCTGAGTGAAATATCCCAGTCACAAAAGGACAAATATTACATGATGCCACTGTTGTAGAATGGGACTGTCCTTGGGGTTGGGGAGAGACTGAGTAAGATGGGTTCAATAATGTATACTGCACTGAAACAGAGGAGGGAGAAAACTGTTTAAAAGAGATATATAACTAGGTATTTCTGTCATCACAGGAGACTAGAGTGAGGGCTACATGGTGGAGGGGACCTGGGGGAGGGTTTGTAAAACAATGAAAGAATCTTTTCTTTTACTTTTCAGATGTGTTATTTATAAGGTCTCTGTGACTTAATTGGCTTGACAGTTCCTAAAAAGAACAAAATTGATTAGAGTATTGTTTAGGTGGGGCTGAACTCAGATCTGTGTAACTCTAGGATTTGTTCTTCAAATGCATTTCTTATCTTTAAGAGAAGAAGCAAGAATATATTTGTGAATGCTACTTCCTCTTTACCTGTTTTTTACCTTGTTGTTGTTATGTGCTTGTCAAGTTGCGACCCTATGTACAACAGCCCTAAATCCAGCTCTATCCCTTGCCAATCTTATTGTCTCTGACACGCCTATCCCCATTACCTCAGTGATGGAATCAATCCATCTCATCAGAGTTCTTCCTCTCCTGCGCCGTCCCTCCATACTCCCACACATGATGTCCTTCTCCATGGACTGATCCCACCTTGCAACATGTCCAAAGTATGTCAGATGGAGCTTTAGAATCCTTGCCTCCAAGGAGCAGCCTATCTTTACCCTTTCTAGGACTAACTTGTTTGTTTTCCTAGCAGTCCATGGTATATTCAAGACTCATATCCAGCACCAAAGCTCAAAAGCATCAACTCTCCTATCATCCTTAGGCACTGTCCTTAGATTGCCTAAAAGGAGAGTTTTCACCCATTGTAAGTGGCTTTAGTACTGTTAGGTTAAGGCCAAATTACCAAAAGCACAATTTCTCTCTCTCCAGTCCCTCCCATCTAACTACATCACCTCCTTAGTCCCCTGAGTATTTAGCTTTGCTCCTGATTTTGTGCATGGCCATGACAGAATTCAGCCCTATAAATGAAGACTGACCAGAGATGTGGCTAGCAGGAAGACACCTTCCTTGACAGTCCCTGATAATAAAACTGTTAACTAATCACCTAAGTTGTGGCTCTTGGAAAAACATGTTCACAAGTTGTTTTTGGGAAGAACACCCAGATATGCTGCTGAGGAAGTAAGTGAAAGTGAGGTTGGTTCTACTTCAAAAGATTGTTGATGATGCTAAGATAACTTCAGGATCATTGTGCTTTGCTTGATGTCCCTCCTTAGGTGCTCTAACAAATAAGACGTATATTTTCTTATTAATCATATCTCAGAAAGCTGATAGAAAATAAATGCTATGACCTAATTTGTGTATATAGTCTGGTAAGCTATGATTTTTTGCCTCATTGTCCTTCTATACCTTAGTCCTGGGCACAGATAAAAAGCTCAAGTTTTGGCCTTAGCATACCAGTTTCTTGTTACTTGGCCATCAGCCTCAATTCTAGACTCTCAACAGATCAAAGTGACTTTGGAGGATTCCTTCTCATTTTGTAGGAGGAGAAATAGAGATCCAGAGAGGAAATATAGATCCATAGAGGTGGAGTAAATTGGCCATGGAACACACCTGACAGGTTAGAGACAAAACTGAATGGCTGCAATCCTGTGTCAGGGTAACCTTTTCTGGTCCCCAACTGCAGTACTTACTATATACAGTGCTAGTAGATGGATAGATTATAAGTGGTAGATAGAGACAGCCTTCAATATACATCTTAACGTCAAGAAAACGAAGATCCTCACCACTAGGCCAATAGACAGTACCATGATAGATGGAGAAAGGATTGAGGTGGATAATAATTTCATCTTGCTTGTAGTTACAATCAACACTCTTTTTTTTTAAATTAATTTCAATGAACATTTACAGAGATTTTACATTTCCATTCGTGCATTGTTGCACTTTTCTCCCCGCCCTCCCCACCCCTACCCCCAGTCTGCTCTTCTCTTTGAAAAGTAAAAGAAAAACTCCTTCATTGGTATATAATTCCCCTGTATCGCTGCACCCCCACCCTGAGTATACTCCACTTTACACTCTTGACACCAGTAATCAGGAAATCAAAAGATGAGTTGCATTGGGAAAATATACTGTTAAGGATCTCTCTAGAGTGCTAAAGAATCACAATGTCAGGTGTGCCTGATCTGGGCCATAGTCTTCTCAAGTGCTTGCTGTGCATCTGAGAGCTGGACAAAGACAAAGAATGACAAAAGAATAAGCAATGCCTTTGAGTTGTGATGCTGAAGAAGAGTTTTGAACATACCATGGACTTCCAAGGACAAAAAGATCTATCTTGGAGAAGGTGAAACAAGTTTGATCTTTGGAGGCAAGGATTTTGACACTCCATCTTATATATTTTGGGCATGTCATCAGGAGGGACCAGTCTTTAGAGAAGGACATCATACTTGGAAGAATAGAGGATTGGTGCAGAAGAGGGCAATTCCAGATGAGATGAATTGACAACAATGACTGTGCCAGTAGGGCCAGATACGTCAAAGACGGTAAAGTTGGCTCAGGATGGGGCAGGTTCAGAGCCACTGTTCATAGGGTTGCTATGAGTCGTAGTTGACTTGACAGCACATAACAAAAGCAGACACGGCTTAGACCTACTTTGGCATATCTGCTCATAACTCTTATTTCACAATACTATATACTTTATTTGAAAGTATTTGCAATGAATAAGTTGCTAGTCATACAAAATTTTATGACATGATCTATGGCTTTATTTCTATCACCATAGTTTCAGATTACCAATTCTTTTTTGTTTCCAGATTTTTAATTCCAAACACCAGTCATTATTAACACATCTTGATTGCATGATGCATAATTTCAGATCATAGATCATCTTATCATCTTTGGCTGTGTTGGTTGGTGTTTAAATTTGAATGATAGTCATGATGACAGATCCTCTTAGTACACGGATGGATATTATCTGCTCACTGATAGCATTGTACATCAGGACAGATCTTGAAATGTTCTTTATGAATATGAATGTGATACCATTCCATTTTAGTTTATCTGTTCTGTCATAGTAGACTATATGATTGTCTGGGTGAAAATGGCCAATGCCAGTCCATTATTGATTTTTATGTATTCCATTTCATTTGACAACTTCTAATTTTTTATATTCATACTTTGTACATTCTGTGTTCTAATTAATGGCAGAGCTCTTGTGGCTTAGTCCATAGGGTTTTGTATATTTGTAGTGGTTTCTCTTCGTGTTATGTCATGGCA